TTGTCAAAAAATTTTTTTTTTTTTTTTTTTTAACAAAATGTTTTCTTTAAGGGGAAGGGTGTGGGTTTGTCTGTTAATAATTATGATAAAAATAATAATTATTATTATAATTATATTTATTTAAAATTACATTTAAATAAAGTTGTTTATGTAACACTCACCTGACGTACAATCTGATTACATTAGTGACACACACACAAACACACAGATAGGACACATTAGTGACACACACACAGCACTACCCAATTACAATGCTGATCTCATCAACTCACTCCATTCATTTTGCTCACAAGTGATTTTCCAGAGCAGAAGATGCTATGAAAAAATAAGCTAGATGTAAAGTGTGTTTGTGTGTGTGTGTGTTACCTCGCAGGCAGCTTGGCTATTGTTAAATTGTTTGGTCAAGAGTTCGATCCACTGCAGCATTGTGGGCTGAGAGAAAAAATAAAAAAGTAAAACTGACTTACAAAAATGGAAAAAAAACAACAACTATTAAACACCACAGAAAATGGCATCAGGCCTGTCCTGCAAGTTACAACAGAAAGAACAACACAAGAGAAGTAAACTCCATCTCACCTTTTCTTTGGAGTGGATGAATGTCTCCAGAACAAACGATGTGCTGAGCTGTGAGAGAAAGAGAGGACAATGACTCAAATTTTGAACCTCGAGGACAATAACTCAAGATGGTCCATCTGAAAGTATAGCTGATGATGATGATGATGATGGAGATGATGGAGATGGTGTGCTGCTCTGATAATGCTGTTCATGTGGTCAGACTCACCTTAGCCGTCATGAGCGACACGGATTTCGGATCGGGTAAAGTGCTGGGAATACTGCTGCACAGCTGCCACATAAAACTACAGCGAGACAGCAAAAGAAACGAATGAAAGAGAAAATAGAAGAGAATGAGAGGACAGATAATATACATTCATTTTAAATAAAATTATATCTTAGATTAAAAAAAGAGAACGTTGCATATAGACGTTTAGACTTACTATATATCACCATACACACATATAAACAGAAAAGGAAAGAGTTATCAAAGATATCCATAGTTTTGTGAAATTGTTCTAGACTGTTCTCTTACCCAAAGTACGTGTGTTCAAAGATGTTCTTGTCCTGGAGAAACTGCATGTTGTCGTGCCAGATCCACTATGAGAGAGACCAAGAGAGATGAAGCGTCAGTGAAATGCTCAGATGTGTGCAGTGAAGACTGACGGTGAGAGGTCTGTACCAAAGCCCCTAGAAGGCAAGCCTGCAACCATTAGCCAAAAAAGCGTAACTCCTAAAGCTAACGCTTCCGGTCTGGCAGTACGTGGGAAAGGAGACCAGAGGCCGTTTTTTTTTAATGGATGTCAATGGAGGAGAGGCTTCACTACGCTGAATAAACAGCTTTTTAGAGGAAAAGGCTTATCACTTAATGAATCGACAGCCTATCTGCTAATCTTCAACATGTTTTATACTAAACAATACTTTTGGATTTAATTATTTTTAGAGTTTACCACAAAAAAATGCTTTTTTATAAGAGAAGTCGCTGACTTTTTGCGACAGGTGTGATTCAGCTTACGGCACTTCCCATTCATTCCTATGGGATCCGTAAACGGTGATTGAGTGTTGCACAACTCTGACTGAAATTCAATGACGTCAAGGCTGTAATGTGATTGGTTATTAAGGGACACGTGATCAAAGTTAGCCTTTACGCTTTCTCCAACAGCAAGTAATACAGACCCTCTTATCTCCCTATAGTAAGATAATCTCTGTCTGTACCTCCAGAAGGTCAGGAGAAATGTCAAAGTTCAAGTCCTTCTCATTCTCCTCCTCCACCTCCACTCTCTTATAGAACAGCATGTAGGCACTGTGGGTCTGAAAGACAGACACATCACACGTTACTTTGTTTACAGAGCATTTATGGGCAGTTTACAATCTTGAGCGAGACTTATTTAAATAAGAATAAGAATTTTTACAATTATAATGAATATAAAAAAGAATATATAAATAATAGTAATAACAATCTATTATTATTTATTACTATAATAATTATAATGAATATAAAAATAATGTAAAATGAATATATAAAATAATAATAATAATAATATATAAAAAAGTATTACTATTAATACAATTCTTATAATTAATATATAAAATAAAATGAAATCATAATAATAACAGCAACACAACAACCTATAATTTATTACTATAATAATTATAATGAATTAAAAAAATATGCATAATATATAAAAATGTGATACTATTATTATAATACATGTAATTAATATGCAAAATAAAATGAAATCATAATTTATTATTACTTTAATAATTATAATACTATTTTATTATAATAAAATATTTTTTACTATAATACAATTAATATAAAATATATATTAATATATAAAATAATATTGTACAAAATTATATATTACTATTACTATAATAATTACAATTAATATGCAAAATAAAATGAAATAATAATAATCATTAATTTATCAAATCATATTTATCATTATTATTCTGTTCTTTTATAATTATTATTACTGTTGTTGTTATTATCGCAAAACCAACCTTCTCAAAGGAGAAATCCATGAACTTGTCTGTGACAGAGTCATATGTTTTTGTCTGAAATGAGACATGAGCATTTCTGAATTAAAACAACATTAACTAGACTGTTATTTATATTAGTTTATCCCAAAAGTATATAGGATGACTTGATCTGATGGGAAAAATATAAAAAAACATACCGTCATCTCTCCACCAAAACATTCTGAGGCCAGCTGAGCCGAATCAAACGACTTCACCTCAGCGTCGTTAAACAGGTACCTGCAACAGGAAACGGCATCATCACAAACGCACATGTTGGTCAGTTCTCAATAACAAACTTTGGGCTGAAATGATTCAGCAGCTGTAAATGCAGTGTGAATAATCACCACTTGTTATTGCGGTAAGCGTGCGGGTTGACGATGTCCCTGATGAAGCTGTAATAATGGCCGCCGTCCGCCGTGCCCGTGTGCACCGTCACACCGATGAGGTCATACTCGTAACTCTCCGCCACTTTGGCATCACTGTCGTCACGGAAACCTGCGAATGACATCATGATTAGCCGACTGGAGAAGACAAACACAATTTAAATAGGCTGTGTTTCAGCAGAACAATCGCTTTACCTTCCTTCCTGTCTCCCTTGGCCATGAGGAAGTCCTCGGTGTACGGCGTCATGTCGAGCCGCAGCGGGAAAGAAAAGTGCGTGTTTACTTTTTCCTTCATCATGGTCACCATGTTGAATGTATAGCGCATGGTGTTAAAGCTCAAGATCCGCGGGAGCTTCTTAAAACAAGCCCTGAGAGACAGAAAGAGCTGTCAGAAAATATTCAGGTGCCTTGACAGAAAGATTTCAGCTCTCAGAGGAAGAAAAAAGCAAACTGTACCGTTTTTCAGCACGGACTTTCTTCCCACACTGAGAGCAGGTGTACATGTTATCCCCCTCCAGAGTGTCCTTAATGGTCACTTCGTCCAGAGACTCCTGAAGCACAGAGATGGAGACACGGATGATGTATTTATATTCATTTTAGGGCTGGATTCTGTTTGACTGGTGGTTTCAGTAACTCTCAATCGGGGGAATAAAAGGACTTGAAATGCTTCATTTGTGTGCTCTGGTTATCTCGTTGACTTATTATACTGATATAACCAACAGGACAACCCGGTCACATTACTTTTTTATAATATGTTTCTTCATCAGCAAATCAGCATATTAGAATGATTTCTGAAGGATCATGTGACACTGAAGACTGGAGTAATGTTCAGATTTGATCACAGCAATAAATTACATTTTACAATGTATTCAAATAGAAAACTGTTATTTTTACTGTATTTTTGATTTAAAAAAAAAAAACAATGCAGCTTTGGTGAACATAAGAGACTTCTCTCTCTCAAAAAAAACTTTTAAACAGTATTTGGTTTATATAGAACATTTTTTTTAATATTGTTGTTTTATGATTAAGGCATTTTCTGATATAATAGTTTAATCTCATTCAAACTCTTTAATGTAATCTCACATAACATTATGAGAGCAATATGTAAAAAACATAAAGCAGTCTTAAGTAGTATTTCATTATGTTTTATACTTATTCTGGCCTCATCAAGCTCTGTCATGAGAAAAAATGACACCGATAATTTTTTTTTTTGGCAGACAAAGTATTTCTCTTGGCACGAAGTACAAAAAAAAAAACTGACTGTAAATAATGTGGTGTTATTTACAGACAAGGCTATTATTAGCCATTCTTCCACTGACCCACCCAAAACATGTCGATTGTAATAGTGTTTTTCTATTATGGATTACTAATATATATTTTTTCCAATTACAATGTGTGACATAAAAATAGAGCAATGTTTACTCAGTAAACAATTCAAATATTAAGTGCATCAATACCAAATGTACTGTTGCAGGCTTGAAATGATATAGTGCTTTAGCATTAGTAACTACAAATAGCTATCGGTACTATGCAAATCTACCATCACATGACATTTAAAAAAAAAAAACATCCATTGAAAAACCCATATTTAGTAGTAAAACCTCTAAATCCTGTTCCTGCTAATGACCTGTACACAAAGAGCATGGAGTTTCCTTCAGATGAGTGTGTTTATGTGTGTGAAAATGAGAAACACTCACATAGATGTTCTTCATATCGGCCACCTGACATCTGACTGTGTAAAACTCCTCAGCCGTCTGACTCACGTGATCACAGTCCTACACACACACACAGATATCCAAATAAACGCTCATCCACAACTGGTCTCTTTCAGAAAAGACACATCCACACACGAGAGCTGCAGGTTCAAACAGCTCAAGTCTTACCAGTGAAACCACATTGTTGGTGATGATGCCTCCAAACAGCGTTTTGACTGTGTTTTTCTGAAACAACAAGCACACGAGCATTACAGGTGTGTGCCTGTTTCACTAAACTCACTCGAAGTGTTTTTTAAAAACACAGAGACGGATGTCGTACCAGGTCCTGAGACATCTCCTCTATCTTGGTGATGAGGTCTGTGAAGAACTCGGTCATGTCTTTCTGCTCTCCTGTGTTCAGAGGCTGTTTGTCCATCGTGTAGGTCTTACAGAAGGGACGAGGGTTATACGCCTTCCTCTCACTCTCCTGCACATCGGAGAAACATTAAAATCACATCTGCAGTCATGAGATTACATCATGTGATAAAGTCACATACCATTAGATAAGTGAACATCTTCTGCAGCTCCAGCAATGTGGTCTTATGCTTGATGTCCTCTGAATACTGTATATCAACACAGACACAAACACAGATATTACTATAAAGCACAAATCCAACAAACCATTTTAAACCAAACAATGGCGTCTGTGTGTTATTAAACAAAAAGCCATGCAGGAATGTACATTTCAATTATTTTAACTGTTGTAAAATTATGGTAATGCATGGCCTGTCATGAATTATCACATTTATGTCACGACAGCTTAGATGCTTCTATTCAGCAAGGACATATTCAACTGATCAAAAGTAAAAGTAAAAGCATCTATAATGTTACAAAAGATTTCTATTTCAAATAAATGCTGTTGTTTTGAACTTTCTATTCATCACAAAATCCTGAAACGAAACGTATCATAGTTTTACGCAAAAATATTAAGTTTCATTATTTCAACATTGATAATAATCAGAAATGTTTCTTGAGCAGCAAATCAGCATATTAGAATGATTTCTGAAGAATCATGTGACACTGAAGACTGGAGTAATGATGCTGAAAATTCAGCTTTGATCACAGGAATAAACTACATTTTATAATATATTACAAATAGAAAACATCTGATCAGATCAGACTTGTTTTATGAACTCACTTTAGCAGTAAAGACGGCCTGTCTGGCCTCTGGGATCATGTAGAGCTGTTGAATGGTGGAGGCCAGGTAACACGTGGCGCCAAGGTTAGTCAATCCCACAAAACGGCACTCGGCTCTGACATCATCATGAGGCCAGTAATCCCATTTATACGGAGCATGAGACGCTAAAAAAACAAACAAACAAACAAACACACACACACCAAAGATCAAACCAAGGCGCGTATGTTTACATATACGCAAGTATGCATTTATCAGTGTTGATATTAACAAAAACTAAAACTATTAAAATTGTTTTCGTTAATTGAAATTAAGCTGAAAAAATACAATAATATAAAATACTTTAAAAAAATAAATAAAAAATCTTTTTTGACGTAAATAAAATAAGTTTAAATTAGAGCTGCACGATTAATCAAATGCGATTGTCATGCGCACCGCCGGTTCTGTGATTAGTAGTAAATCTCCAGCACGTGCTTTCAGATGGAGCAGCATTTAATACACAGAGCCGTTGTTCACTGACAAGCTATGCAAAATTGCGTTCATAATCGCAGACCGATTTAATCGCGCGATTATGAAATCAAAGAAATCGTTTATTATGAAAGCTGTTTGCGTATCTTCTCAGTGAACTACGGCTTTGTGAAGTAAATGCTGCTCCATCTGAGAGCACGTGAAAATACCACATTTAATAACATGTTTTTACTCCAAACTCACTTCATAACATCAGTCGAGTGTTTGAAATAAATCCTTCTGTGAGATGATGTGGCTTCTTACACAGAATAAGGCATGTATTCATTGTATTCTAAGCAGTGATAAAGGCTATGTTTCAGCGCGAGAGCGCCCTCTGGCTTTCGGATGGAGATTTACTGCTGATCACAGAACTGTGCTTCACTGAAAGATACACATGACAATTGCAGCTTCTGCCTAATCGCGATCGCGATTTAATTTCGATTAATCGTGCAGCTCTAGTTTACTTCACTCACTCACTTAAATTGAAGTACTAAAATTACTAAAAATAAAAATGGAAAAAAAAGAAAGCTTTAGCATTTAAATTTAAAAACAAAAAAGCTAATAAAAATATCATGTACATTTTGTGTATGTTTTTTAATACTTGTGAGATCTAAAAAGTATAGTGAAACCTCCTAAAATCAATTTATGAGGACAACCTTGATAAAAAAATAATTCTTTATCTAAATAAGGGTTTGGATTTTAAAAAAATCAATCAGTAACTCTTTACAATAACCATCTAATACATAAATACTAAAATAACACTGGCACATTGACATTGTCAGTGTTTGTACAGCACTTACTCTCAGGGGTTTAAGCGCTTGTGCGTCTGGCAGGAACTTGAGCAGTGTGGACGCGGCGAGCAGCAGGAAGGATCTATTGATGGATTCTCCTCCCTCCAGACCTGACAGAGACAGCTTATACAGACCACTGCACGCCTCCTGACGCACCGCCGTCTGCAGATACAATACGACAATACAAACTATAAAAATACAACCCAAAATAACTCTTTACAATAACCATCTTTAGTTAATGCATTAACTAACAATGAGCAATACATTTGTTACAGTATTTATAAATCTTTGTTAATGTTAGTTAATAAAAATACACCTGTTCCTTGTTAGTTCATGTTAGATCAGGTTTATTAAACAATATTAACAGATATATTACATCAGAAAGTTCTGATTTAAAAAAAATATATATTAGTACCAAGCAGCAACCTTCCGCTCTCTCTCGTGAAACCAACACGGAAGTGACTAAAACAACTCCCTTTTGGAGCCAGCCTCTAGCGGCCAGTCGATGGACTCCCCATGTTAAAATGCCCAACTTTACAGCAGAAAAAAATATGTTTACAGCCTGGTACAAAAAGTGGTCTATATAGCTAATTTAATGCCCTTCATGACAACTGTGAGGGGGGTGAATTTTTTTATAACTCATCCATTTAAATCATATTAAGCCTTAAAGTTCTGCATAATTAAGGGCGTGGCCACTTGAGTGACAGGTGGATTGCTGCTGCTGTCACCACCGTCGAGCTAGGTGGGCGTGGCTTCAGCAACCAGCTCCTGCCTCTTTGCCCATTTTCGATTATCCGGGAGTGACGCGCGGTGACACAAACAGCAGAGCGTGGTGACAGCAATGTCAAGGTCATGCGTTTGATTCCCAGGGAACACAACTCATGATAAATGTATACCCTGAATGCAATGTAAGTGACTTTCGATAAACTGTCTGTCAAATGCATAAATGTAACTTTTAAAAAATAAATAAATGGCACTCACAAAACATTTAACATGCATTCCCTAGAATATTCAATATATATCACATAAATATTTTGTGCACAGTAGATTAGAGCTTGTTTTTTTTGACTGGTTTGAATAGCTATGGTTTGATTGGGGGATATAATTGTTCCCCGCTCAGGTAACCTCAATTTGATCAGTAGAATTAATTTCAGAGATGGATAAAATCATGACATTCTTTCGTTTACCTCAGGTATGAGCAGCGTGAGCTTCTTTAGCCAGTCGTGCAGATGTTCACTATCAGCCAGGCTGGATTTCACCAGAGAACAGCAGTGAGCCCAGCTCACCAGCAGCCACATGGAGTAATGAGTCACTGCGTAAACATTATTAATAAATATTAATGAAACGTCACCAGTAATGACAGAAAAGCCAAAACCCTCACATATGTTTTAACCCTGGACCACAAAACCAGTCTTAAGTCGCTGGGGTATATTTTTAAGGGCGTGGCCACTTGAGTGACAGGTGGATTGCTGCTGCTGTCACCACCGTCGAGCTAGGTGGGCGTGGCTTCAGCAACCAGCTCCCGCCTCTTTGCCCATTTTCGATTATCCGGGAGTGACGCGCGGTGACGGGCTGCCAAGATGACGACAGCCGGCTCCGCCTACTTTAGGCTTCAAAAACGCTCCTCAGAAATAAACAGGTGACGTCACGGACACTACGTCCATGTTTTTATACGGTCTATAATTAGTACATGTAATGATATTAACATTAAGAATAATTTTTCATTGTTAGTTCATGTTAACTAACTACGGCTAACTAAGAAAGTTTATAGTAAAGTGTTACCAAAAATCTAATCAGTCTAATTTAAAGACAACACAAATCAGAAATGTCCACAGAAGAACAGTGCAACACACTCATGGTTGTAGCGCTCACCCTGCATGTGCTGCGACATGACCCAGTTGTGCAGCAGTCTGTAGTTCTCCACCGAACCCTTGACCACCTCCACCAGCAGGTCGTAGGCCGCGGCGCGGGCCGCGGGACTCTTGCATTTGGGCTGCTGTCGGTCCTTCAGGCTGGGCAGCAGGAACAGCAGGTCATACGTGTCCCTGAGGAATTCCTGACCCTCCCGAGAAAACTTAAAGGGAGGTTTGTGCTTCAGGACACTGGTGGCGAGACGCAGGAGACCCGTCAGACCGTCGTCCTCGATCGCCCCGTCCTGCTGGTCCAAAATCTCACGACTGCAAGTGGAAAAACAACAACATGCTCAGTATTTAGAAAGATAAATGGTGCATTTTTGCTCAGTTACTTTCTTAGTAGCATAATGTTACCAGTGATTTTCCATTTAAACTAAAAAAGTTTGTTTGCTTGTGGTTTGCGCTCTGAAGGGGTAAGTTACGGGTTCATAAGGAAACTGATGCCGTAATCCAAGCAAAAGGAGCATGTTTGACCTGCGGATGCAGTCGGCGAGGTGTCGCGCCAGAGCGTCCATTTTGCACCCTCAGATTCCAGATTTTCAAATAGTTGTATAAATCGAAAAATTGACCCTTATGATTGGTTTTGTGGTCCAGGGTCACATATACATAACCAATGATGTGCTTACCCTCGTGTCTGGATCTGTGATCTGATTGAGCCTTTAAAACCCTGCAGGATAATCACAATACAGAAGGTAAAAAACAAAACAAAAAACTGAATAATAAAAATAAATGAAAAGGAGTCCTCACGGGTGAGGATCTTGTGTATGCGCATGCTATTCACCTGTGTGCCAGATTGTCGTATGTGTAGGCCACGTTGATGAGCCGCTGGATGAGGTTGGTGCCTTGAACAAGACTTAGAAAAACCTGACGGAGAAGACAATGCCAAAATTAGAAAAAGCTCGCATACACAGAAAATCCATTTAGAAGCAGTTTCACACCTCTGTGAGACGAGGTATATGCAGGCCCTTCCCATGATCCCCGGCGGTTTTGCGGGACTTCCCTGGCCACGCCCTCTTCCTCTGTGTGTCCGTGAGACCAGACCAGGCGAAAACGGGGGTAAGTTACGGGTTCATAAGGAAACTGATGCCGTAATCCAAGCAAAAGGAGCATGTTTGACCTGCGGATGCAGTCGGCGAGGTGTCGCGCCAGAGCGTCCAGGTCCAGCAGGGTGGTCTGACTGGCGTCTTTCACGTGGATGTTGTCAATGAGTTTACAGAGCAGCCAGAAATACTCCTTACAGCCGGTGTGAAACATGGCCTCCTCCTCAAAATCCTCCAGCTGCACCGGCGAAACGCACACACATACACTCATTTAAAGGAATTGTGCATCAAAAAAATCAAATGGGCAAATAACACTGAGCCAGAGTTGTTATCTAAACTAAAACTTTAACGTTAACTAAAACTAAATCTATTAAAAACATTTTTGGACTTCCCTGGCCACGCCCTCTTCCTCTGTGTGTCCGTGAGACCAGACCAGGCGAAAACGTCATGATAGGCCAGGTCCAGATCGGCCGGATCCACCGCAAACTGACAAATGAGCTTCAGCAGACACGCGAGACAGTCCAACAACCACTAGAGCGAGAGAAGAGAAGACACATGATATCCACAGCCATGGAAAAGAAAGCGCCCTGGACTTATTTCGCTTCAAAGTCAAAAGGAAAGAAGAAAAAAAAAAAAACCTTGCAAACGTTACACGACACAGCCTGTTCTTGACACTCACCACAGTCCAGGATTCTTGCTCTTTCGGCTCTAAAATTGCAGAGTTAAAAATGTCCAGCAGAAGCTGAAGACCTCCAGACGACACAAACTACAGGAGAGACACAGGTGCAGTCTGTCATTCAGCTCGCTGAAAAATAAAATTAATAATTAATTAATATAAATTATAAATATAATGTAATTTAATTTATATTTAAATGATAAATATACATATTAGCAACAAAAATGTTGCCTTGGCAACTAACTTAAAAAGGTCTGTGTACTATAAGTACTAAATGAATAAAACTAAACATGAAAAATAATTTAAAACCTGAAATGGATGCATGAAGCCATTTTTAAAAATAAAATACAATGACACCGATGTGTTCGTGACACTCACCACAGTCCAGGACTCTTGCTCTTTCGGCTCTAAAATTGCAGAGTTAAAAATGTCCAGCAGAAGCTGAAGACCTCCAGACGACACAAACTACAGGAGAGAGACACAGGTGCAGTCTGTCATTCAGTTCAAATACACACTACACAGAGCACATGGACTGGAACATACATGTTAACAACTACAAATCGCATAATAGTTTTACTAAAACCCACAGATTAGGTGTTCCAATGAGTGCAGTTACCTAGTCCATAAGTCAGTGAACAATAGCAACAAATGGAAGCATGAGAGGAGGTGTTTGTACCTTACAGCTCCAAGTGTTCTTGCTGTTCTCGATCTGTTCCTCACTGGAGTCGTCAGAGTCTGGATACAGATCACTGTAACTGCCCTGAAACACAAATACACGCACGTTTCAAGAGAAAGAACATCTGCACGTGTGAAGAAGATCATCTGAGTGTGATTCTGGATGTGTACCGTAGACTCGCGGTGAATCCTGCGGTTGGGTTTGCCGAGGGCCTCTATGATTTCTAAAGCGTAGAGCAGCTTATGAGGGCTCTTGATCCTCAACAGATCCTTCCAGCACAAACCGTCAGATCCCTAAAGTCACAATGAACACAAATTTCATGCAGTGCATGGCAAATATATATATATTTATATTAGAGAAGCACCGATATGTCAGCAGCCGAAAATGGCATTTTTGGTTTTCGGTTGTCCAGCAGTGTTCAGCACACAGGTTTCTCTCTCCCTCTAGCCGTCGTCACTGTGTGGTGTGACGCTCCTCTCAATATTCTGCTCTATGAATGTGCGTTTTAGTAGTTTTATGATGGATGGATGCACTTTTTTAGGCTTCAAAAACAGGGGCACCACTCACTGCCAGCTTGGAAGAGCCAGGACATTTTTAAATATAACTGCGATTGTGTTCATCTGAAGGAGGAATGTCAGATAGGCCTAGGATGCCCTGAGGGTGAATAAATCATGGGCTAATTTTCATTTTTGGGTGAACTATCCCTTTAATACCAACTTTGTGTTACTTTCAATAAAATTTTAGTTATTTTATTGGCTTGTGTTTTTTTTATTCAGTTTTTTTTTTACTGAGTAAAATTAAAAAGTCTTGAAAATTACTTTATATTATTTAATAAAATAATAAATAATTATTACAAAGCAAGTGCATCCAGAATTTTCCGTTTCGGTGCTTCCCTAATATACATATGTATCAGTTTTTTTGCCCCCAAAAAACTAATAACTATTTGTTTATGCAGATACATATGCAGAAAGAATTTTCACTTTGAGCTAGCACAGGTACATTTTAAATAATAATAATAATTAAATGTGGAATTTTGAAATAGAAAGACTTTGAAAATTTTTAGTATAAAAAAATATATAAAATTTAATATAATAAATATATAAATTCTTTTTATCATAATGTACCAGTTTTTGGCCCCAAAAACTAAAAGCTACTTGTTTAATGCAAATTTAATTTAATGCAAATTATCACTCAGAAATTGCTAGTAAATCGTAACACATTGAATTAAATGTGAAATTTTGAATGAGAAAGATTTTGAATTTGAAATGTTGAAGTATAAAAATACATAGTAAATGGAAAAAAAAAGATTCTTATTATAATGTGTTCAAGGTTTTTTTGCCCCAAAAGCTAAAGAATATGTTTAATGCAAATTTAACCTTTTACACATTTTGTAGAAATTTTGTAGAAAGACTGATATATTTTAAAACATACTCCAATAATCTTAGTTTTATTTACTTTGAATAATTTTTGCAGTGTACACATTCAGGCAAACAAACGCTAGAAATCTCTTAAATGAAAATATATAAAATATCCAAAATATTAAATCACCAAAAAAGAAAATAGAACAATATACATATATATAAATATAATAATTATATATAAATATTGCACATATAAATGTATAAATATAATTGAAATATATATAAATATATATAATATACACACATACTGTATACACACATAGATATTACATATAATATGTATATTAATTTATAAAATACCCCCCCTCCCCAAAAAAAAGAGAAAATAGAACAATTTACATATGAACAAATATTGTAAACATAAATTACATATTTATATTATAATACACATTGCATTTCTTTTTCCTTTCCTCCAAGGCTATTTGTTTTATTTTTTTTGCTTATGGGCTTATGTGTGCTACATATATCAGACAGTCAGAGTCTGTGGACGTTCTATTTGAGGCTCAGATGCGATAGAGTCACAGTCGTCTGTTTTCTGTGCATGTACCTGGGAAGTCCTGCTGGCGGCTGGTTTGACCGAACTCCTGCAGCTGTGCCTGCTGGCTGAGCTGATCCTTCTGAAGATTCTCATACCAGTGCGTGACCTCTGCCCTCAGATCAGCCACCTGATCGCTGGGGTACATCTCGATGGTCATCTACACAGACACAGAAAGCTTTATTAAACTCAGCGTGATGTCTGAGCAGACACTAGCGATGAGGAAGATGATGATGATGATGATGAAGGCGCACCTTGTCAGGCAGTCCTGCTGGCTGACACACGATCCTGAGCGGGAGAACTTTGAATAATTTTTGCAGTGTACACATTCAGGCAAACAAACGCTAGAAATCTCTTAAATGAATGGGCAGCATGGGTCATGTGACTGACCGTGTCATCGGAGATGTTCTGGAAGGCCTGGAGCATGCTGGGACACGTGGGCAGCAGCATGAGCAGCTCCCACACACGACGGGACAGATTCTCTGCGTGGAGGTGCAGCTCCTCACAGCGAACACTCTGCAGGAGGAAACACACTGGATTGGATGCTGGTTTAACTCAGTCTGGACCGGGTCTGAGGTGTGGAGCTGGATGGTACCTCAGTGCTGTGCTGGGGTCTGTCGGGGCTGGGCGGCTTGAAGCAGGCCAGCATCTCCAGCAGGTCGAAGAGGGTGGTGATGAAGGCGCACCTTGTCAGGCAGTCCTGCTGGCTGACACACGATCCTGAGCGGGAGAGACTGTTTATCACTGAGAGCTTTCAGATGACTGCTGATGCCCGTGCCCTCGATCTGCCACTGCCGCAGGTGATACGCAAACCTGAACACACACATTCAATTCAGCGTCCGTTTACATTCTAATATGAAAAAAGGAGAAATGCCACTTCTCGTGTAAACATGGTTTTCGCCCAGAGACACGAACACCATCTGACAGCACACACAAACGTCTCTAAGCACTTTGTTTTTAGTGTTGCAGGTTCACAGGCGTATGTGGATTTGTTTGCGTTACCTGCATGTCCTTGAAGCCGAGCTCGTGAAGGGTCTTCTCATCATAGTCAGTGGTCAGCTCGTGTCCTGATGAGATCATGCGCACCGGACCCATCAGACCACCTGCACATAAACACACACACACACACAAAGACTTTACAAGGTAAATCCAAAACTACAACATGTTGCCATATGAGCATTCATTTGCACTTTTGACTGATTATAAGTTTTAACTAATTCTACAGATTCACAAATGCCAATAAGAAATCACAAAAACAATTATTATAATTATTTTATTTTAAATATTTTATTAATCTAATGATTAATTATTTTATTTATGATTATCTA